GAAACTGAGGATCATTTGCCCATTCTGTGATTCATAAGTGGTAAGACTGGGGGATTTACTCTCTCCTGTCCTTGATGCCAAAACCCTAGATCTCTTCCCAATAGCAAAATAAAAGTTCAAAAGTAAATGAGTAGTCTGCCATTTACCTATATGATTCTAATTAGTGAAGGCATCTGCATTTTTGGTGAGATAGTAGATTATAAAGCTCTGTTTAAACATTTCATTTTAGGGGAATTATGATTATTCTAAACAGGAATAGATGTGATTGACACTAAGCCCGGGAATCCTGATGCTGCCATTGTGCAAAGATGAATTATGATTTAAAGATGAATGTGATTTAAAGTTGAGTGAACTTTACTAGAGAGGTTTGTGGCAGTATTCATTTGGTTTTATATTCTGAATCAAAGAAAGTGGGAAATTTTTGCTCAACTAGAACACAGAAAATTATATATAAATCATGTGTGAAAATTTGTTATTTAATTAATTCATAGTAGCAAGGAGAAATGGAAGGAGATTTACACATATTGCTGAATGTTTACTTATTTGCTCTCAAATTTGTATTGACAAAAGCATAATCAGGTGCAATTATACATGGATAAAATTCTGTGGACTTAAAACCAAAGTCCCTTTTGATTTTAATGTGTGCATAAGAATAACTTAAGCAAAGAAAGGTATTTTTAAGCAATGATGTCAGATATTCTTTTAGAATAGAATGACCAATTTCAACACCATTACAATAGATCAGTGTTGGCTTTACAACCTCTTACAAGGTTAATGATCATAAAGAAAAAAAACAACCCCAGAACATTCGAAAGTCAGAACGAACATTTTTCTTGAGGACACAAAGGCTTCTTAAAACATTGACCATTTTCAAAACCACTTACATCATCAATAAGTGCTGCATATAGGAATTTTGGTCTGGGTATGCTGATCACTCTAGCAAGTACAGGGTGACAACAACTTAAGATTTAGGAGAGCTGGAAACTGGTTCTTTTTCCACCCATGGTTCTTAGTTACCTTCCAGGGCTTCACAAAATACAGCGGCCTGGGTCTTTGTTTGAAAAACTAAATACGACCATGCCTCTTCTCTCCTTACAACCCTTTAATGTTTTTTAATTGTTTCATACTCTGAAATCCCAACATGCCCTCAAAACATCCAGTGTGATCTGCAGTCCCCTTGCCCTACTCTTTGCCTCTCTCACTGTATTTGAGCCACTTGGGTTTTTCTGAGGTCCATCTTGGATTGTCACATGTGGGTTTTTCTCTGCTTGGAATGGTCCTGTCCCTAACTCCATGACTTCAAACTTGACTATTCTTTCGAGTCTCAAATTGAACATTATTTTCTCTCTAGAAATCCTCCCCCAAATCCACAGTTTAGGCTAAAGTATTTTATTATATCTTCTCATAGTACAGGATGCTTCCCATCAAGAGCACTATGCACAATTGAAGTTGATTAGATATGTATTTACAAGTAATTGTTAGAATCTAATGCCCTTGAGGCACAGAAGCTCCTGTGTGCAGCCCCATATGCCCTGTGCCTGGCATAGTAGGAACACAGACGGTGAATGTGGATGAACTACCTGGTGGATAGTAGTTTCATACAAGAAGTGTTAAAAAATTGTAAGCAATGTGGGAAGCTTTTGCTTTCTGGACAAACCCATTAAGAGAGCAGCAATGAAAAGACATTCCTGTTTTGACATGTGTATGAGGTCCTCTGCCATTTTGATTCTTACCTAATCTGTTAATGTCTGTTTTTAAGACAGGTATCAAAGTGGGCGGATGAACTTATATGCCAGTGGTTCTCAGAGTCATTTAACTCTTCAGGGGACATCTGGCAATGTGTGGAGAGATTTTAGGTTCACACACTGAGGGATGATACTGGTTTCTAGAAGACAGAGATGCAGCTAAAATCTTATACTGTACAGTGAAGGCACTCAAAGAATTATTCACTCCAAGTTGTCAGTAGCTTCAAGGTTGAGAAACCCTGAGGTAGAGAATGGGACTCTGGATTATTCTGCTCCAGGTAAATATAGTTTGTTTAATACAGCCTGAAAGAATGTTACTTTAAGGTAATTAATTTATGTTTGGTACTCATATAAATATGAATAGTATTCTTGCTTCACAACGTGTAACTGACTTAGAGTTCAGTATAAATAGCTTTCTATAGTAAACACAATATCTTGCACATTCCTGACATTCAGTAAGTCTTTGTTGAATTGAATTTTATTTGGCGTATCATTTCAGCTTGTCAAGATCATTTTGTATCCAAAACCTAATGTCTAAATTAGATCTACTTCTTAGTTTCGTGTCAAGCACAAAGTTAATCAGTATGGTATCTATGCCATTGATAGAAGTAGTGAGTAAGACAAGACCATATATTAAGATGAAATTCTGGAGATTCCGTTATGGAACATAAGCATTATTTATTTATTTATTTATTTATTTATTTATTTATTTATTTAAATATTTTATTTATTTGTTCGAGAGAGAGAGAGAGAGAGAGAGAGAGAGAGAGAGAGAGAGAGACAGGCAGAGAGAAAGAGAGAAACAGGCTCCATGCAGGGAGCCCAATGTGGGATTCGATCCCCAGGACCCCAGGATCACACCCTGGGCCAAAGGCAGGTGCTAAACTGCTGAGTCACCCAGGCGTCCCATGAACATAAGCATTTTTAAAATTACCATTTCATTATAGTCGTGTGTACTTTACCCTGTGACACCTGCTTTGTAGAACATTGATGGAAATAACGTGATTATACTTTCCAGAAGATTTCATGTACAGAAAGAAATGTGAGAAAATAGTATTTTAGAGTAATTATGAAAAATGAATTAATATCTTAAATTTATTGACATATTCATACAGATTGATGAAAGAATATTATGCCCTCTATAGACAAATGGATAAAGACCAAGGAAAAAATACACAAGAGAGAATTATTTTAAAATATTATTAACTTAAACACTGAAAGTCAACATTTATTGAACACTATTTTTCAGGCACTGAACTAAGTGCTCTACATACGCTTTCTGGTATACTCTGAAGTATGTATTCTTTTTTTTTTTAATTTTTTTTTAATTTTTTTATTTATTTATGATAGTCACAGAGAGAGAGGGAGAGGCAGAGACACAGGCAGAGGGAGAAGCAGGCTCCTTGCACCGGGAGGCTGATGTGGGATTCGATCCCGGGTCTCCAGGATCGCGCCCTGGGCCAAAGGCAGGCGCCAAACCGCTGCGCCACCCAGGGATCCCAGTATTCTTTTTATCTATATTTGATGGGCTCATCAAGATTAAGTAATTTGCCAAAGTCTCTTAGCTATAAAGAGATATAAGAAAATATATTTAAATTTACTAAAGGTTAGAGACTTGCAAATTAAGCAACCACATGATAGATTTTTGCATTGCAGGTTAGGGAAAATTAAAAATATATTAATAATCGATGCTATAAATCTTGGAATAAAATATATATACAGGGGGATCCCTGGGTGGCTCAGTGGTTTAGTGCCTGCCTTTGGCCCAAAGCGTGACCCTGGAGTCCCGGGATGGAGTCCCATGTCGGGCTCCCTGCATGGAGCCTGCTTCTCCCTCTGCCTGTGTCTCTGCCTCTCTGTGTCTCATGAATAAATACATAAAATATTAAAAAATAATAAAATATATACATGTTAATGGAGGTGAGGTCTTTAATTCAATAGAAATCAAATTGACAATGTCACTCAAGCATCATAAAGCTCTTTATGCTTTAACTTACAATCCACATATAATTTACTAAGCAAAAAAAATTAACGTAATTATATATGTAAATTTGCTTGTGTATAAACTTATTATTTGAACGATCAAGTTAACTAAGTATCTAGAATCATTGGAATAAATTGGAAATATTATGAATATTATTAAGGCCTATTTTAATTTTGAAGATTATATAGCAACCTGGAAACCTTTTAGTATTATCATTTTGGGAAAAGAACAACAAATGCAGAATTAATTTATTGTCAATCAATCAAAATATGCCTACCTATAAGAAAATCTGGAAAGGAATTGTAAGAAATGAAAATAGGTTTATAATGTAGTACCAGAACAATTAAATCAATGAAACAGAGTAATGCAGTATGTACACGCTATTCAAGTCTATGAGTACCAAAAATAAATTACCTAAAGTAATGCATTCTTAGGTTTTATTATAGAATCTATTATATATCCAGAACAGAATAATTTGGAGTTATGCTCCCTCTATCAGTGTTTCTCAACCTCTGACTATTGATATTTTGGGTTGGATAATTATTTTGTTGTGAAGGACTGTCCTTTGTATTGAAAGGTGCTTAGAAGGATGTCTGGCCTCTATCTACCATCTCATCATCCTCTCAGAAAATGTGAACTATTGTTTTGTAGAGGATTGTTTGCAAAACTGGCCACAAACCTTTCTCTATTTGTATCAGTGCATTTTGTAATGTGCTTACAACTCTTCTCAAGTAGACTGTATTTTTCTACCCCTTTCACCTGGCTTTGTGACTTTGCCCAATCCATTGAGTTAGTAATTATGAGTCTCGATTCCAAGCACAGACCTTATAAGACCACATGGATTTATACTTGGGTTTTTTGCACGCCTGCCTTTCATCTGAATAAGCCCAAACTAGAGAATTGAAGGAAGAAAGATAACATAACCAGAGTTATTACCCAGAAGCTCTAGCTGAGGTTCCATATACATGTGAGAGAGCCCAGCCAAGATAGCAAAAGACGACTCACAGGCAACCCTTAGCTAACTGCAATCGTAAGGGATCCCACTCTTAGCAGGAGAACATCCCTCCTGAGTTTAGGCTAAATTCCTAAACCACGGAATTGCAGGCCAAATCGATAGCTATTTTAAGTAAGTAAACATATGAGTGCTTTGTAACACAGTAGTAGGTAACCAACATATTGTGTCACTTAACTTTACAGCTTCTGGAATGCGTGTGTTAATGCCAAACCTCTGCAAAATAACGTTCTATATCCTAGTTTACCTTCCTTCCTAGGAGAGGCAAGGACTGCTCCTCCCAAACCAGGTACAGCCAAGAAGAAGGCTCCCAAGAAAGGCAGCCAGACCAAAAACCAAGAGGCAAGAGTGAGTGAGGCCAGGAAGGTCTCCCAACAGCCAGACAAGGCCACGCGGGCCCTTCCCAGGGCCACGGGGCCCAGTGGGAAGTCAAAGGTCAAAGGCAGGAGGAAGGCCAAGGTGGTGAGACCCACAGGAAAACAAAAGCTGGGAGTCGGAATTCAAAATGTACCATCCACAAGGGCAAGAATGGTGCTGCTTCTCCAGCCAAGAAGGAAAACCATGTCCCTAAAGAAGTCGTTGCCCATGTGGCCAAGGAGGGACCTAAAGCCAAAGTTGCTGCTCCTCCGAATGGTGGCAGGTCTAAGACGCTGCCTGAATACCTGGCCAGGAAGACAGAGGCCCCCAGGGGCCCTAGGAGGGCTGGTATGCCCACCAAGGCCTCCTCATCCAAACTGGCCAGTAGGAAGGCAGAGACTGAGAGCTAGAGCTGGGGTGGACACACTGAGGTCCTGCCTGAGTTTTTATTCCCCAACAAACTGTCACTCTATTTATTTCATTGTAAACTATTTATCAATAAAGGCTTTTTTTCCCCTCAAAAAAAAAAAAAAAAAAAAAACCTCATGACTCACTACTACTTCTAGTTGAAATATGCCTGGGTTTTCTGCAGGATGTGTGATTTCCAGTCAAGTAGTAGAGACCATCCCATCTTGTCGATTTTGACTATATAAGTAGCTAGATTTACTCTGAGATATAATTTGTTTTCACTTGATAGACCCAATTAGATTTTATTAAATTTATTTTACACTTTTTTCCCCACTTAATGTATACTTTATGGGAGTAATGAAGTTGCAAGGAAAAACAAACTATTACTTTAAGATATAAATATTTACAAGAAGTAGTTTGAAACTGCTGGGATATTTTGTGAAAATAATTAGGTTTGCAGATTAATGAAGTAAAAATTATTATAATTGTATTCTAGCAGTAGGACACTGCTGATACTGAGATTGTTTGTACCAGAGTCCTTTTGTTGGGTACACTTCCCACTCTTCTAGCAACCCATATGGTAAATATTCTGATGTAGTTGCTTGTTTGTTTCTTTTTAAAAATCTTATCTCACACTGTGGTGCTAACAATAATTTAATATAGGATCTTATTTTTTTTCCTGTTTTGACAATTGATATTAGATTTTGTTTAAAGTATTTTTGAGGACATATTGAACAATCTTACCAGATATGTAATATTTTTAGACTTAAAACCAGAACACTTAGATTGTAGTTGAAAAATTCTACTATTGACAATTTTCAAATTTCTGTATTTCTTGCAGTTCCCTTATTTGAAATTTAGACATTGTGATCAAATGATTATCAAAATGGCCTCAATTCCTTCCCTTATCCTATATATGTGATTCTTGCCATGTGACTTTATAGGTTTTTCCATCAAGAAGTGGAGTTTCTTCTCCCACTCCAAATTTAACTGACTTATAACTTACTTTGACCACTAGAACATGACAGAGGAGATGGTGCACCAGGTCTGGGACTAGGTCTTGAAACATTGTGCTTTGGTTCACTCTCAGACTCATTCCTTTACATGAAAATTAGTCTGGCCAAGCCCCCCCTGGAAGAAGGAATATCACGTGAAATGGAGCCATTCAATTATACACATGAGGCCACGCTAGACCAGCCAACCCCATCTGACCCACTGGCTGATTGCAGATAGATGCTTGAGCAAAACCAACTGAGATCAGCCATACCTGGAGCAGATAAACAGAACCACGAAGCTGACCTCTTTTCTCTTTCTTTTCTGTTTTTTTTTTTTTTAAGATTTTATTTATTTATTCATGAGAGACACAGAGAGATAGAGGCACAGGCAGAAGAAGAGGCAGGCTCCTCGAGGGGAGTTTGATGTAGGACTCGATCCCGGAACCCTGAGCCGAAGGCAGATGCTCAACTGCTGAGCCACCCAGGTGTCCCCTGACCTCTAGTCTCATGGGCAATAATGAATCTTCTGGATTTAAGCTATTATGATTTGCAGTGGTTTGCTAGGCGGTGTTGACAAACTATATTATATAAAATAATTACCACAATTTGTATACCTCTAGTGTAATTATTTGTATGAAAAGACAAGCACATATGTTTGGCCAATATTATTTTATATACTGATGCCACAAATCATTTTATAACTTGAATTGTATTGCATTTTCTAAATAAACTGTATAAACTATTTTATACAGGTAATACATTTTCGGTTTATCTAAACCTTAATTTTACTGATTTTTATTTGAAATTAACCATGCCAAATGGGAACACATTAAAATTTATTTTACATGTGCCCAAAAGCATTATTTCCCAAATTGTGTTTTTAACTTGAGAAAACATTTATGCTACAAAATTATTTTAAAATAGAAAAATTCATTGAAATGTGCTTTTTAGAACCTTTTAAAATCGAATTTGATGTGTCTTAAGTATATAGACATTTCTTATTTACATATGAAGCAAAGACAAGTTAAAGAAGACAAATCATTTGTCTGGATCACAGAGTGTTTCAAGATTTTTTAAATTAGAGATATAAATATTCAGTTATTTAAAACATTTAATTAAAATTAAAATAGGAAAAATCATAGACTCTCAACGATGAATTAGAAAATTATGCTTGTTACTTGAATGAACAGTTTAAGCCATTGTTAAGTGATAGCATTTTCTCTGATAGGACATGTTTGCACTGCTCTGATAAAGATAACTATTACTGTAATTTTCTTCCCTGAAAGGGCACATATGGGAAAATAACATTTTCTGTGAGTTTATTGACTTGGCTCAGGAATTGTCTTATTAGTACTGACTGCTGCTAGAAAGAAACAGCCAGTAATTGTTTCAAAATTCTATTGGAATTTTGTGCTGGACTGGTGTTTATGTTAACTTTTGCAGGTGCTGTGCTGTTCAGGGGCTTCTATGAACTGCTGGTTTTCAGTCATTTGTCCTTGTTTCAGCTGACAGTGTCATTCATGACTGCACAGGTCTATAAATGATGGTCTAATATCACTTATCTAATTACTTGGCATCCTGCACTAAAGTTTAACCATCCTGTGTCAATAACAGCTCTCAGCTTGGCATTCAACAAACAAGCATAGATATGTGTATGGATATATCTACGGGGCGGGGGGGGGGACAAATGTGTAGCTTGTGTCCTTTTGTTTATTATTAAGCCATGACTGATATACAAAAAAGTTATCCATGTTTAATGTACACTTACTGAAGATAAGTATATACCAGTGAAACAATTACCATAAGCAATGCTATAAACTCAGCCATTCCAGCTAAAAGTTTCTCCTCCAGAAATACCCAGGTGACTCAGTTGGCTAACACCTGACTTTTAATTTTGGCTCAGGTCATAATCTCAGGGTCCTGGGATCAAGCCCCATGTCAAGCTCTATGCTTAGTGAGAGTCTGCTTGAGACTTTCTCTTCCTCTCCCTTTCCCTGACCCCTGCTCGTTCTCTCTCTCAAATAAATTAAAAAAATCTTTAAAAATAAAACAAAAGTTTCCTCTCCTTTTGTGTGTGTGTGTGATCTTTAGCAAAAGATCTCTCTCTTAACAAAGACTGCGGTATACAGTATTGTTATCTCTATGCACGATGCTGTACAGCAGAGTTCTAGGACTTATTTATCTTGTATAACTAAAACTATATACCTTTTAACCACTATCTCCCCAATTCTTCCTCCTCTGAGTCCTGGTAACCACCCCTGGATTCTGTTTCTATGAGGGATCATGCAGTATTTGTTCTTTTATGTCTGTCTCACTTCACTTAGCGTAATGTCCTCTAGGTTCATCCACATGATAGCAAATGGCAAAATTTCCTTCTTTTAAAAGCTGAATAATATCCTGTTGTATGTGTATACCACATTTTCTTTGTACATTCATCTGTTGATGGGTATTTGAGGTTTTTTTCCCCAAAATGTTGGCTGTTGCGGGTAAGGCTGCAATGAACATGCAAATGTTAGTATCACTGAGATCCTGATGTCAATTCTGAGATCCTGATATCAGTTCTTTTGGATAAATATGCAGAAGTGGGGTTGTTGGATTATGTGATACTCTATTTTTAATATTTTGAGGAACCTCAAACTTCGACTGTGTTAGTTTTCCATAGTTGCTGTATCAATTTATATTCCCATCAAGAATTTCTTTTTCTGTATATCCTTGATAGCATTTGTTATCTCCTGTGTTTTTGATAATAGTCATCCTAATGACTATTAGGTCAACTATATCTCACCGTGGTTTTGTTGTGTATTTTCCTAATGCCTAGTGAAATTGAACATCTTACTTGTTGCCCATTTGTATGTCTTCTTTGGAGAAATAAGTATTTAGATACTTTGTCCATTCTTTAAGTTTTTATGTTTTTGCTATTGAGTTCTAGGATTTCCTTATATATTTTGAATATTAAGCCTTTTTAAGATAATTTTTATTTAGCACTTAAAACATAAGATTTAAATGACTGTAGTGTTTGGGAATCAGCTAAGATTTTTGAAATCCCTATAACTGAAATTTAATAAATTACAGTGGTTATGCTTAGAACTAGTCCATATTTCTCCATCTCCTGAATTTATTTATTCCTATCTTTTCCCTCTTTACACCCTCTATCTCTGGTCCTGTTTATATAATTAAAAATTCTTTTGGACTCTAGTTTTATCAGATGTACAGCATAGTGATTTAACTTCTCTATACTATGCTCACCACAAGTGTAGCTACCATCTGTCATTATACAACGCCATTACAGTGTCATTTACTATATTCCTTATGCTGTAACTTGTATTCCAACTATTTTCTCATTCCATAACTGGAAGCCTATATCTACCACTTCCCTTCACCCATTTTGCTGAGTCCTTCCAGCCACCCGCCTCCGTTAACTACCAGTTTGTTCTCTGTATTCATAGGTCTGATTCTGCTTTTTCTTTCTTTCTTTATTCATTTATTTTGGTTTTTAGATTTCATGTATATGAAATCATATGTTATTTGTCTTTTTAAGTCTGACTTATTTCACCCAGCATAATTTCTTCTAGGTCCATCCATATTATCACAAATATAAGATCTTGTTCTTTTTATGGCTGCGTAATATTCCATAGGGTATAGATATGCCCCTTCTTTATCCATTCATCTGATCAATGGACACTTAGGTTGCTTCACATCTTGGCTATTGTTAATAATGGTGTAATAAATACAGACATGCATATATATTTTCAAGTTAGTGTTTTCATTTTCTTTGGATAAATACATATTAGAATTATTAGATCATATTATATTTCTGTTTTTTAATTTTTGGAGAAACCTCCATACTGTTTTCCATGATAGCTCTTCAAGTTTATATTGTCACCAACAATACATAAGGAAGGGCTCCTTTTTTGCCACATCCTCACTATATTTCCTGTCTTTTTTATGTTAGTCTTTCTGGTAGGTATAAGAAGATACCTCATTGTGGTTTTGATTTGTATATCCCTGATGATTAATGATGTTGAACATTTTTTCATGTGGTTATTAAACCCTTTTTAGATATATCATTTTCAAGTATTTTCTCTTATTCCAAATGTTAGCTTTACACTCTATTGACAGTTTGCTTTGCTGTATAGAAGCACTTTAGTTTGGTATAGTCCTATTTGTCTATTTTTGCTTTGATATACAAGAAATCATTGTCATGACCAAGAAGGTTTTTACCTATGTTTTCTTCTAGGAGCTTTACAGCTGCAGGTCATATATTTAAGTTGTTAAATCCTCTTTGAGTTGATTTTTGTGTTTGGCATAAATCAAGGTCCAGTTTCATTCTTTGGCATATAAGTATCCAATTTTCCTAATACCATTTATTGAAGGGACTATCCTTTTTCTTTGTGTATTCTTGCTCCCCCAGCTTGTGAAAGATCAGTTCACCATAATTGTGTGGGTTTAGCAGCTTGTGTTTTAAGACCTTACTAAGCGTACGTTTTTGATGAATCCCAAATGAACAAAATGTTGATTTTTTTTTTAAGAGCAAGCTTTAAAAAAACTCACTTGCATTCTTTTAAATCTGAACCAGAACCATAGCTTTCTTTCATGGACATGATTTATTAAAATGTATTTACCTAATACTTTAACATATTTGATTAGTTGAACCACACCCAATTCTTTCAGGAGAAGTGCTTTATTGTCTCCTTTTAGTAGATGAGAAAACTGAGATGTGAGGCAGTTTGCCCAGTTTCACACCATAAATCACCAGCAAGGCTGGGATTAGTATTCAGTGAACATCCAATCCCTAAATTCATAGATCTGATGAAAGTTTTTAGAAGATGAATTATCATTCATTTGCAAAATAGCATATCCTTAAAATTACTTGGATTTAAGTAGTCACACAAAATAAAAATTATTAAAAAACAAACGACTTCAACTTTATCTCTTGTGTTAGGAGAACATTATTAATATCTCTTTATTTAGTCCACTAGTGAAGTATGTGCAAGAGAGAGAAAGACAGAGAGGAAGAGGGACAGAGACTTAGGTCACCAGAATTCATATTATAATGTCTTTGCTTTGAATGTCAACTTAGTTCTAGCTTTATTTTAACTAATTTTCAAAATGTGTTTTATGTTCCAGGAAAAGGACATCATCTGTGATTTTTTTTTAAGTTGAAGCAATTTATAGGAACTAATACATCCTTTTGTGCCTCTATAATTTATTTCTGAATATGATCAGGTTGATAATATT